CCGTTTACAGGTTGCATAGATAAAATTAGAAAACAGACCACACACAGACACATCAATAATAATGGATTAGAGTTTGAAAAGAACAATTAATTATCGTTTTTGGATGTTTCTCTTGGCAGAATGGAAGATGGTCGGATCTTACGAAAGGTGTACCGAAAACCGACATGCACTTACCAGTACACTAATTTCAATAGTTCCGTTAGTAACTTAATCAAATGCCTGGCCACTAGGGTGAGAGTAATCTGCTCTGTAGAGGTGTTGGATGATGAGATGACGTTCATTAGAAACACCTTACGTGAGAATGGATGCCCGGATCGTTTCATCGAACAGAGTTTGCATGAACACCGAAAACTCCCATGCAAACTGTGAGAAAGATTTGTTCATCAGTTTGCCATTCAAAGGCGATACCGTGAATGAAATCCTACTTCGACGACTGAACAGAGGAATTGACTACGCCTTCAACGGTGCTAAGTTACGGTGCGTGGCGCTCCAATGGTCCACATTCAAAATAAGGATAAACTCTCAATGCTGACCTCATCAGTGGTTGTATAATCTTTCAGATGGGTGTGTGGTGCATTTTATGTTGGTCGAACGGCACGACAGCTATCTATATGGATCAAGGAGCATCACCCACGCTGGTTAAGAATAGGACAAACGGGGTAAATAAAGACCTCCATCCTAGCCCATTTAAACGACACCGGACGTCGCCTTCAAAGTTATCGTGTCCCTCACACCAAGTGCAAGGGTGTTCGACTGCGCACTCTAGCAATAGCCGAAGCGATCGGGATAAGAAAGTTGATCCCTGACCTCTGTGCTCAAAAGCGTTTGGTTCAGTCACTCCAACTTCCGTGGCCCGTAATCGATCGGGCCCCAGTGTGTCCACTGTGTCCACAATCAAATGACAAATGCCAGATGATTATGACAAACTCTTACCCATGATTGTTGATGTCTAACTGTGTGATCTGTTTTCTAATGTTACCTATGCAATCTGTAAACGGCTGGAGATGGAACTACTGAAAAAGGCATTGTTTCGCCAAATTGTGTTTGTTCTTAATGCCC